GTGCTGCGTTTGCGAGCTTATCCGTTTATACTACCTATACACCTATAGTATACTAGATACCTATTATATATATATTGCTATAAAGTGTCTATGTGTGTGTGTGTGTGTGTCTGCTCGCGTTTAACGTGTATATTTTGATTCCGTTTCGTGTTTTAATTACGACCTCGGGCCGGCCAGCCGGTCACCACTCTTCACGTGTTTGCGTCATAGGGTGTTGTGTCGTAACAGACAAGTACTGTGGCAGTGTAATTATTATTATTCGTCCATCGCGTTCATGTACACACTTACGTTTTAAAAGAGACACGCGAAATCAATCGACCAGAAACACGCCCATGTTAAATATCGGCTATGCATATATTATTACCTATATGTATGATACCTATACGCCATGTCACAACAGTTGATAAACTGCAGTTAAAGGTGTGTAATGTAGCCAAGGGCTTGTAGCCCGTGACGATGGGTAAACACAAAACGAGGGATTTGTATGCTAGCCAAATTTACGACGGAAAATTTCTCGAAAAAAAAAATCAAAATCATAGTACAATAACACGCAACTCAGTTGTACAGTGTCAAACGTCTCGCACGCTGCACAATGCAGGCGACTAGAGTTTCGACATCACCGCATAGGACGAAGAACTTATTTATTATACTATAGGCATAACAGAATGACTTGAAAAATTAAATAACTTTTGTTCTAATCTACATTTAAAAACTATTTTTTTTCATAATTTATATATGCATGCATTATTACAAGTAGATATACAATATATCATTTTCTATTTTTATTTTTTAACACTGAAATAAGACATTTTTAATTTTATTATATTTTTAAAAACAATTCGAAATAGCTAATTTGTAAATCTAATTTTTAGAAAAATGATGATGGTTCAAACGATTATTTAAGTCAAGTAGGTAGTTTATTTTTTGAAAGTATTTAAAATACCAATATTTTTTTTGAGTAAATTAATTCGAAACGTAATAAACTTTTTTCTAAAATAATATTCTTTTTGAACATTTTTAGACATAAAAATATCATAAATTATTTATTATCCACATAATTTCCTTAGTTTTTTTTATACGTTTAACAATTAACAAAGTTTGAAATATTATAATGTGTATAGTAACATATAAAATCGATTTTTCATTTTGCATTCGTCAGGTCATTCTGTTACACCCTGTATAGTGTATATCAATATATATTAGAAGGGTATTATATTTTTGCAGGTTAAAACTTTTCTTTTCCCCTTTCGTTTCCAAACCGTAATTGCAGTCGTTAATGTAATGAAAATAATTTAGAAAACAGATATTATTCGTAACTTTTTAGTAGAACCATGTTTTTTTTTAACTCTTAAGATTTATTTATTTTTTAAAAATGACGTTAAATATTTATAGGAAAAATTAAATTCTGTTTAATTCTGTTTTATTCTGTTGCATATCACAATATAATAAAAGTGTGTAAAGTCATGAGTGGTAAACAGCTGACAAGTCTCTGAAAGATCATTTTGTGGTCGGACGAACACAGAAATGTATTTTTGTCGTATTCACTATTCCTATGAGGATTTATATCTAAATCTACGTAGATGGTTGGCTTTGGACAGTCCAAGTAATGATTTCAGACTCAAATATAAAAATATAATAAAGCGTAATAGGTATGATATGCAACCAATACTTTTTGAAATCATCTCGGTGGGACCTAAACGGAAATAATACCTAGGTTATAATAATAGACTAGATTTTATAACGCTTAATAATATGAATAATAAATATAATATAATGTGCTAAAATAAATATTATATAGGTAGGTATAGATTGTTGTTGATCGAATAAACATCGTCATAGCATACGTTATACAAGACCTGAATATTAGATACAATAGATACATTATTTAGGGACAATAAATCACATCACTTCTAAGGCGTTTTTAATATTTTAATAAGCGCTCTTTGGAATGTTCACTACGTATACCATAACGGTACAATTATTATTTACAATAAAATTACATTAAACTTCATAAACTTAGACACCTACTCAAATCAAAACTTCCAATCAATATCAAACATTTAAACTCTTGATCTATTAATAAATTATCCGCTTATCGATGACTTACGGAATTCAGCTTAGGGATTGGGAAACGGCCCAATCATACAATATTAAAATATTCCAACCATTTCAGTCAATTTGCCTTCGCCTCATTACAAAGGCCTCCAGATACGTCAGAAACTCTCCCGTCACTCTGACCTCAAAATCCCAACCATTCATTTACTAGCTGACTAGCCTCCCACTATTAGAAACCATTTCACAAAAACACGTTCAACCATTTAAATTCACTAATTTCAAACCTCTCCTCCTCTACACTCTCTGATCCACAACCTTGCCATCTTAAGCGAAATTGGCCGAGGGACATTCTATACATTGAAAAAAAAAACAGCCTGGAATTATGAAGTAGTTATTGAATCCCACTCCCCCTCCCCCAATATTACCTATTGTATTCATTTTTATTACAGATTGTATACCTAATGTATATAATATTATATTTGTATTTTTTTATTTGTTCCATTAAAAAAAAAAAAAAACATTAAAATTAATTCCAATACTGTTTTCACGAAGATTGATTATTAAAACGATAGAGAAAAAATAATTATCCAAGTATTTAATAAACGCATAGTAATATTATATAACCGAATGGATTAAAACGGGCCGAACGGAACGTGCTTCGAGATAATGATATTGCTGTTTGGCCTGACCTTTTGGATATACACGCGTTTGTGTAAACAAAAAAAAAAACGAAAACATATACCTACCTATACCGACTGACTATAGTACGACGGGCAGAATTTGTTCGAGCAAGCCGCGTTGGCAAAATCTCAAAAAGAATAAAATAAAAGATCAACTTGCCGGACATGCCCCCCGGGGATCGCGGCTTAATTGACGCGTGTGTACCCACCAACCCATCCTTTCACAAGCCAGGCTTATGCGTACCTCAGTACCTGCCTACGTTTCACTCGCATCAGAAACGCATTTGTTAAATTAGCCGACCCTCGTGCACAGCTGGCTCGACATAGTATCACGGTGTTCCTTGCCGCAGTGTTGCAGTGGATCGTCTAGATAATTGTATCCAGACAATTATTGTGTTTGAATAAAAATATTTATCTTTTTTACCTTGTCTAGATAATCAAATTATTAACCATATATTCTTGTTGGTCTATTTAAACACAGTGTTTACCTAGCTGAGATAAATAATTATCAAGATAATTTTTTGTGACAAGATTTTCAGTTTTGTTTTTGTGGGGAGGTGTCAATTTTTCAAAGCTATTTAGTCCATATGCTATTTAATCGGTTTTATTATCGTGTTCTTTTAGTTATCTTATATGTATATATTTCATTAAGTGTGTCTTATTGGTAGTCTGTTATTCTGTAGTACTACATTGTTCATTCTCTGCAAACACTGATGGAAAACTGTGTAGTTAGCCACACGTATTTCCTACGAATTTTAACATTTAAACTTAAAGGTATAAAATATATATGTAACTATTGTTATATTTATAGCAACAATTCTATTTCATAAATGCAAATGTTGAATTATCTATTTTTTTTATCAGTATTAAATGTCATTGAATTATCGCTTAGTACAACTGAACAACACAACTAAATTTAAGTAAATATTAGGTATCTGCAGCGGTTGAACTAAAAAACGGCAATAGAATGAGATCATTATTATTCATATTATAATCAATTTATTGTAAACTCAGATTCATTCATATTTGCGCACGGATTAAATCAACACGTGTCATATATGTATTTAAATACCTATATAATTTTTACTGTTTGATGAGTTCGCCATTTGTATAGAACCGATGGCCAAAAGTTTATTATTATATTTAAACGTTTATTATTTCTACATTACTTCAAACAACTATCGTTCGTATTGTATGATGAGTCAACGAAGTTTTAGAAACGGTTGAACTTTTAAAATGAGAAAGTAAGATAATGCCATACACACTACACTGCATATTTTAGTGAACACAAAGAAGCTATTCATTTGAATTAACTATGTCAAATCGTTCATGTTTCAGACTGAAATGAGTCGCAAATTTATAAACGTTATTCGTATATAGTAATACAACACTACAATGTGTAAATATGAAATTAAAATGTCGGATAAAATTGAATAAGTAATGCGGAAATAAAACAACTCTAAATAAACATTAAATTTGACTGTTGCATATTATGAAATACAATATTATTAGGTTCACATTCTTTCTTTAATATTTTAAAATGCATTTAATTTAAATTAAAAAATATTGTTATTTGTTGATTACACACAACTACAACACAAGTAATGCGATTTAAACTGTATATTAATATTAATGGTTTAAATCAATTTATGATTAAGGTTAACTGCGCGGTATAATAATTATACAAATTAAGTACGCTTTTAATTATTACCGAGTTCCAATAAACATGGGTTGGATTGGATTAAAAACGAATGTAATATTGTGTTTTATTGTATCAAAATATCAAACAGTAAACTTTTCGTTGGTGTAATAAATCAAATAGGGTTTTAACAATCATCGTAACCATTGAAAAAGAACTACAGTCGATAACGTATAATATTAGGATATAGTTAATATAAACTTTAACCGTGTATCGGTTATGACAATCTTAAGCCCCAGATAAAATTACTACCTATGTTGACATGGTTAAAACTGTATTACTATATCTATTGGGTAATTTTTGCAAGATGTCGTATAATACACAAAATATAATATATGAATTTTAAACTTTATTATTTTAGTGCAGAATAATTCAAGTTAGACGCGCATTTAAAATGCAGCTTGCACATCAACGTCACATTTAAAAAATCATCGGCATTTAACATACTGCAATGCGAACTACCAGAAAATTCCAGCAACAAAGGTTGTCATTTGTATAAAATATTATGTTGTGTTTACTGCAAGTTTAATATTATTATACTATATCATATCGTTAAGTCGACTTACCGTTGATCCGTTTTCCGATTCTGTACGCACTGGCGACGCCGTTACCTGGTCCCTGGTGGTCAACTGGTAGACGTTCATCATGTGAGCCGATTGCGCGTGCACCATGAGATCCCAGGCGCTGTCAAACGATTCTTTGCACTGGACGCACACCAGAGACAAGCAGCCATCGTTCAAGTTTCCGGGCCATTCTGCAGATCGAGAGAAACATATATTAATACAGGAAACGCGTGAAATTCGGTATACCTACGTACAACAAGTATAGTAAAATATTATATAATACAAATCGTAAAAGGTATTGTAATATTATATTATGTTGCTATTGGAATGGGGTGGATGTAAAATATATTCTAACACAAACACGAAAAAAAATAATCGATAGGTTTATTTTTAGTGTATGAGTTTAAAAGCGATATATTATGTTAGTTCTTACTTCTTATGTAATATTATAAGACATATCAAGGTCTTCGAAAATCAGTGACACCAGAAATAATATAAGCGGGGAAAGAAAATAGTTTCTTTTGTCGTTCAATACATAATATTACATATATTTAAGCTTCAACTTATCAAATATATTGCCCAAAATGATACACAAACACAATCAATTATTTTAAAAATCGAATCAAGTAAATATGAATTTCCTCACTTAATATTTTGGAAGGTGGAGAGGAGCATCAACAAGTTAAAAGTTAATTTATTTAATTTTTTTTCTTCTTCAGTTAACTAGTTCCCATAGTTAATGAATCCACTATAGTCTATAACAACTTACATTTTCTAGTGATCCCGGTTAGGTTAGGTTAAAAGCCAAAATTAACTTATCTGTAGCTGAGTTAACTTTGTTATTTTCTCTATATTAACTTAACATTTTTGGAGTTCAACAATATAATATTATTGTTACTTATACAAATACAACTTATAGGCTAAATGTTATCTTTTGCATTACATTTCTCCCATTCGCATATTTATGTTTATTATTTAATAAAATAAGTTAACTTATTTTGTAAGTTATTTGTTAATAATAAAAAATATCATGATAACAATAGGTAAAATTGAAGGTAAATAAAGATTTAAAAAAAAAAGATATTATGACATCAAATATGTCACTATATATATTAGTGGGCTCTATAATTTTGGTCAGACGGTTCGCCAATAATTTCTTATGACCACGCATTCACTCTAATTTCCCAAGCGTTTATGAGAATATTCTGAAACTTACATTTTATATTTCATTGAACTGCATTTATACGAACTTAACAAATTCTTGTTTCAAGTTAATTTGTTCTTAATTAGAGTAGTGTTGTAGTAATAACTCATTTAATCCCATTATTATCGTTACTATAACCTGCGGTACGCACACACCATTAGTTAATTAATAATTGAGTATGTTATAGGGAAAGGTACCATACTATAGAATCACGGTCGGTCGGTTTACCGATCGAGTGGAAATAAATAAATTCGGTCAGGTTCCTATTATATTATGTACAGCATGTGGTGCACTGTCACTCGCATTGTTCGGATGATTTAATTGGTTTTCTTTTAAGTCAAAATTATTACATAGTAATAATAATATTATTATACTCGTATAATGTTTATTACCGTTTTCAAAGTAATGACTCTATTGATTTTCTCAAACAGTACTTTTAAATATTATTATACGTGTCTATTTTTTCATTAAACACGATTATAATAAATGTTTAATATAATAATACTTAAAGGCTACGCGTACGTCTGCAAGTTGGCAACATAATATATAAAATTAATCTTATTTAAATCATTTTAAATTAATTCACATGACGTTTATAAGGTTTGAATCGACAACGACGACCCTGGCCAATTTGATGTTTTTTATTCTTTATAATTACGACGAAACGTTAGTTTAGTTGATTTTGACACTTGGTAAGTTGTAGCGTATAGAGGTGATGGTGATTTTTTATATGTCGGTATATTTTATCGTTTTTACTGCTAGTAGGGCATTACGTATTTAGGTCAGGTCTAGGTATGGCTGACTTCTATTTAGGGCGGGTGCCGGGTGATTATCATTGCTGAGTCACGGCCCTGTAGCCAGCTGGCTGTCGTAGTTTGTAATTAAAAATACGTAAACCTATACTTGTAAACCGCGCGTTAATACACTGAAACCGATAATGTGTATTTTATATGCCTGTATTTTGTTATAATATTATCATGCATACAACTAGGAAATACGTCGTAACAAAAATGAAGTTGTGATGTCACGAGGAGAGGGTTACAACCGGATGACACTGCACTGTTAAAGCTACTATTTGTACTTTGACAGTGCTAGACAACAAAATATATTAATATATTATTATCATAAAACATTTACTGTTATTGTTGTTGAAATTGGGCTTGATTGAGTTGTTACATTTGCACGTGAACCTGAGTTTGCAGTATTCCTTCTTGTGATCCAACAGACCTTGCAGTTCGGTGAACATCTCCCGACAGTTGCCACATATCAGTATATCCGGATTGCCTGCGTAAAATCAGTAGGTTAGTAAGTTGTATAGCTATTGAGCTATTTATAGTTAGTTATCACTTATCACGTTCGTTTCACCAATTCGACCTGCAAACGTGATTTTGCTAGACCGTTTTAAACTAATAGTATACCTAAGTAAATTCGTATTAGTCTCGCACTAAACACCATACCAATTACCGAGAAAAAAATTACCAAAAACCTAATATTGCGGATAAAATGCTGCAACAATTAAATGCGTATGTAAGTGTTTGTTTAAAATATTTATTTTATTATTTCTTAATATTTTTTAGTTGTTTCTTTCTTTTTTCACTTGATTTTGAATTTTAAATTATTATTAATTTTACTCTGGGGTGTTTTATATTATTTTTACAATATTTAATTATTATTTAAAACATTACAATTTAGTATACATTAATAGTTAAACAACCACATAATTATCTAATCCTAACCAACCGTACCCTCCCCAACAGTAACAGGCTAATGACCTTAGTTATCAAAGCTTTAATTTAAAAAAAAATATATCTCATAAACATTTATGTTTCCGATAAATATTCATACATATATTTATAGAGTTTTAGGCATACAATTCAAAACAAATAAATTTAGTCAAGAACTTATGGCTAGTCTCTTTTTACATTTTTCCTATACTTAATATTATCTGATGAACATAATTCAGTTATTGATGATTCAGATTTGGTGGGGAGGGGAGTGGTAATCGATAATATAAAACCATTACACTCGGGCCTCTTAGAAGATTTTGGGACCTACTCGACTACCAAGTAAGTACGACTCATACACGATAAGTCATTTTATTACGAATCAACTCACTGTAGAGTTTGAGTTGGTCCGGCACGATGGCGTGATGCGGCTGTTGCTGTAGACTTTGTCCGGCTGCCGGTTGACCACCACCACAGCCTCCATTCTGGTTACGACCACCCTTCGCCGAAAACTGATGGCTGACCTTTTGGCGTTTCGACGCCTTTGATCCACCACCGTTACAATTGTTGCCCGTCCCAGCTGTTGGCGGCGATATCGTCGACGACGAAGCTGCGTAATAGCTATAAAACGTGCTTGATTAGTAGGCGTGTGGTGATTATATAATGTCTACTAAAAAATTATAATTTTCCAGTATGTGTAAAGCACACGCATTCAGTATAAGACGAATACCTAAATTTAACTATTTTTAATAGCAAACAATTTTCGTCGGAACGGTGTAATTTTTTTCTCGGTTTTTTTTCAGTACTTTCATTCCTTTACCAAATCGATTACCCCTCCGCCGACGGGCCAATTATTGAGGGGCCCACGAACGCACAATGGGTTGTAATTCATCGGGTTTTCGAAATTGCTCTCGGATATCACGTCTGCCCTGCTGTTTTCCGGATCATAACTCTTAGGCCCATTAAAAACAATCCTCCTCCCCGCCACTCAGAACTCGTTTATAACGCGCGCGCCGTATTGATTTAATTTCCCGTCTTATATTTTATACGTTTGTCAATTGAGCGAGTCTATAATATAATATTATATGGATATTATACACTGGAGATCCGCAATTTTCTTGCCGGTTTTTGACTTTTGATTTTTTTTTTTAAAATTAGATACGCCTCGCTCGTCGTGACGCGTCAAACGCCGCGACGAAATTATAAGCACACTCACTGGACCGGCGACAATCCACCCTTATCGAGAGGGTGGATGGAGCGGACTAACACTAAACCGTAATCCCGTCTCCTCGTCGAGGTGACGCGTGAATTTGCATTTGATGAAATATATATATCATTTCATATACATAATATATACCTGCGACCCGACATCATAATATAATAACACGTCCTAACTCGGGGGCTGCCACCACCAGGGTTTTGATGCGACACGTTAAGTGCGCGCCGTCGACAGATTTTCGAATGATTTTTATTGGCAAAAGCACAACGCGAATATATTATCATGATGATATATAAACGCCTATTAATATTATATACATATACCATAATATGTTGTAGAAATCCAATACGCTAAAGCATCATAAACACTGTTTTGCAATTAAGTCCGCTAACCGTTTGATGACGGTTTCCACTGGAAGGTAGGTTCGCGACCAGTCATGAAAATTACTTAAGCCATTTACGATGTATGGAGCAAATGTATAATGTAGGGACATAATATTACGTCATCGAAGGGTTTTACAAAAAAAAAAATAAAAAAAATTAGCCTAATAATTTACAGCAAAAAAGGTAAGATCTCGTTTGAAAAAAGAAGTCAATATCGCCGCAGGAATAAACTGTCCTTATAAATGGTACAAGAAATATATAAGCATTTGCGAAATTTGAGGAACAGTCTTAGATATTTGTTCTTAGCTAATTGTACGTCTCATTGGAGAAAACGTTTTTCACGATTTATTATCCGGTAAATATTTGGTCGTGGGAGGGGGGGCTCTACAAACTCCCTCCTACCCTTAGTTGCGATTATTATATGCAAATGTCCAAACGAAAATAATAAGTACAATAATAATAATAATAAGGATATATATATGAACGCGTGTGTCGTTGTAATGCACAACTCGTGTCTCCACGAGGTCGTAGCGTCATGATTTCAGTGTAAACGCGATAAATTGCGTAGATGTACACGGTTTGACGACCCCGTAATAATCGCATAAGCATGTTCGTGTAATATTTTAAAAATGTCACACTCTTTCGCCACGATACTCATCGTTTGGCGTAGACGCATAAAATGCGTGTAGAGTACGTATAATAATAATAATATGGTCGCGCATTACGACCGACCCCTTTTATGAGATCGTACACATATACATATAACTATCCGAAATTTTCAATAAATTCTTGTACGGTTCATTACCACCCCCGGGCCGGTTTGGCTACAACGAAATTCCTCCGGAAATTCCATTCATATATCGTTGCGCGTCTTTCACATGCGTGTAAAATATATAATATAATATATATTATAAGGCATGTAATATATAATATAATATATTGTCTGGAAATTAAAGTGGATAGCTATTACTCTAATATAATACGCTTTATTGTGCATATTTTTTTCCACTTCCAAAACAATATTATAATACATCATGTACAATGCACGCGTTTCGTGTGCTGAACGAGAACATTTAAATACTTCGATGGACGGACGTTATGTCCCTGTATTTTAGGCACGATCTTGTCTTTTTCGAACACACACATACACGTCTTATACATGTACATAGTGATAATTTTAGCAAGATAAACTATTGTATTATACAATTTCGAAAATGTTTTTTTTTTATCTAGTTTACAATATCACATTACAGAACAACATCTTTCAAAACATAGTGACGTTTTTTTAAAAGTTATGGTTTTGTTAGATTTGTAGTTTTTTGATGGACAGCATTAATTTTTAATTTAATATTTTGAAGCAGAATATTTTTCTGAGAATCTTAATACCCATGTAAAAATATAGTTTATTTGTAATGTCTTCAAATTATGTAAAAAAAATGTTTTCAAAAACTTTAAAATACTTTTCCAGTTAATGAATGTTTACTGTTAAAGAACCATATACCCGTGTATATATATAGCTGATCGTTAAATTTATGTTACGTAAGTTGCACAAGACACTCGTTTTAGTCATTTTCTCAGTCTATATATTATATAATATTTTGTTTTCACTGTTTAATTTAGAAAAAGTAACAGTAACAGAGTTTGTGCAACGAAAAATGTAAAATATTTATTGTTTTTTATCACAGCAATTTAGTAGGTTATAGTTAAGTTTTGATAAAAGAAACTGTAATTTAAAATTATGTATATTGTATACATATCCCGAATTCCCGAATCACATTAATATCTGAAAACGGAAAAAATTAGGTAAACTCACAGGTTGTCCATTTTGTATAAATATCCAAGCACAAAATTCACTTACTAGTATCATGTATGCCGTAAGTGTATGTATCATGCACTGTGTATTTAATATAATTATTATGATCACTCATTTTTAAATTTATTTTTCCGCACTTTACGCCCCTCAACGAATATACGCGGCAGCTCCTCGATCCTCACAGGGTTTCGAACAAATCCTATTATCGTCTTGTACACGCATACTGGTGCAGAGTGTATAGTCGTTAATAATTACGAAAGTTACGCGAGTTTTAGAGAGTAAATTTACTGACGAATTTGAAACGGTCCGCGGCTTCTGCAGCTCCGGGGCCGGCGGAAGAAGACATGCGTACACACATTCACGTCTCCCTCTCACTCTCTCTCAATCACACACACATGCATACACCTGCACAGCAGTGCAGCAGTACAGCTATACCTATAGTAACATATACTCGTGTGTACATACCGCACGTCGAGTGTCTGTGGGCGTGAGGCTGCAATGGGTGTGGTGGGTACGCTAACGAACGTCGTTTATCTGGCTCGACAGTCCGTAACTAATGTAACATAATAGGTAGCCGGGGCGGTGGCTGGGTAAGGGATGTTGAGGGGGTGAAATTTTGCCATAATGTAGTCGCGACCGCTATACCATTGTCGTTGAATCCACCACATCCCTCCCACCTGCTTTCGCTTGTTTCCGAGTTAAACTTTTATCGCACAAGTTTTGCCGTCGACGCCGCCACCACCGCCGCTGATCGGGCGCAAACTACACTCAAAACACACACATGCAAAGCCGACGTGAAAAGTGACGTGTGAATGTGAATATATTATACACATATAGTACCTAACTATAACTATGATTTAAAAATTGTAAGAACCTTCTTTTGATAACAAAATTAATGAAGGTATAGTGTTAATAACGAACATTTAGGTATTTCATAAAATATTAACAGCTAGTGTTATAAATACCTTCATTACCTACATCAAATGGTAAAATTTATATTATTTTATGATGTTCGGGTATTATATATTAGCCGGCATTTAACTTGTTTCTTATTGACGTGTGTTACGACATTACGGATTTCCACAAACACCCTTCAAAAGTGACAGAGACACTACATATATTAATTCAATTCAAAGTGTAGTATACTGTTTTAATAAATTACAATATTGGCGATATATTTATATTATTATATTGTAAATCCAGTAAACTAATTATCACTTAATAGTTAATACCTATATTTTTTTCACTATTATTTAAATTTATAAAATATTTTAATAAACCTTTTAATAGGCACTTCTGTTGAATAAAAATTGAATAACTTTACAATATGAATTTTAATTTTATAATATTAGGTACCACAATGTTTATTATAAACCAATTGTATGGCTATATTGGTTTCATTTTTATATAACATTTAGTTAGGACTTATATGATATGCTATTATGATATAAAATATAATATTGTAAATTTAAAAAACACATTTAGTTGCTTTAGTGATTTTATGTTTAATGCGCCTTAAATATTTTTAGACGGTAAACGAAATTACCAATTAGTTACGGTGGCATCTACTGCGAAAATTTATTCACACTGAGTAAGACACGAAACTTCGTTTAAAGAAATGTCTAGACTAATTAATGGTTATAGGATGACTGTTATATATTTAGCACAGAAAAAAATGTTTGGGCTTTAAAATGCACTAACCAATCTTGTTCCAAGTTAAATGCCAATAAGAAATCCCATAATTTTCAAACACTTCAAACCCCCTGTCCACAAATCTATGTACATTCGATTTATTATTTTTATAAAAGACTAATGATCGATTCTTTTTGAACATAAATTGTATGCGTAAACAGGTGTTACTATTTTCAATTTATTTTAATTTGGTTGTGTTCAAGTGATTAGATAATATTGCACTTAGGTAAAGCTTAAAATGGTCGTAATAAATTATTATAAACATCGATTATTAAAATAATGTTTATTTTTATGTCTAACACTCTAGTTACATAGTATTATATTTTGTTTAATTATTTCACATTTTATATTGTCACACTATACCTACCTACTGTAACTAATTCGGTAATTTATTTTTTTAAATTTAATCTTAATAAATTTGAAGTTATTATTTTTGTTATTATTTGGCTGGTGCAAGATAATATTATACATTTTAAACTATAACATAACACTCTTATAACATTCACCCCGGTGAAATAGTATTTACATAAAACAAAATCACAACATAAAGAAATAAATTTAATTTGTTTAAACAAATTTTATAGTTAGAATCGTTGGATGTAATTTAATCATAATATATGTAATCTATGTATACATTTTATATTAAACGGTTATTTTCTCAAACATACTCAACATCTAATGAGACTATTGTTGAAAATCGAGTATAGAGGTAGGTAGAGTATATACCCTTTTACAATCGCCAATATATTAATATTATTTCAATTTGATAATACAATTTTTTTCACCTAAATACGTGCCAAGAATGTTAGCAACAACTAAGTACCTCAATCCCGGAAAATTAATAACCTTCAAAATTGCTTTCACCATTTAGTACATTTTTCTTAAAAATTCTTTAAAGACACTCACACTATATAGACTGTATTGCATAATCTATTCTACTCTCACGTTAAAAATTGCAGTGTTAGTTAAATCATGTATTTATAGGTATAAACCGTATACTTAATACAAACTAACCAAAACTTAAAATAGTTATTTTAAAATAGTACAAATACCTGCCTTTCGAATTCGTTTTAAAATATAATGACAACATCAATAGTTACTAGTCAGCATTCTTCGGAATTTCTGGTATATACTGATAGGTGTGTACCCATATAATAATATATTTTCTGTATAATCACGATTTTGAGAAGTAAACCAATTTTTATAGACGTACATCACTTAACGTTTGACAGCTCAACTACCGCAGAGAAGTTGTGTGCGTATAGACGGACCGAAAGAAAAAAAAAGAATAAAAATTGAAAAAACGACACCTTTTCCCGAAACCGCCCTCGTCTCTCGAAGCGTATCGGCTTCGATCCATTAGGGTCATGGCGGTACAAAGGCGAACGTCTTGAATTCAATTAAGTTTAAAATATAATGTCTCGTCAGCACTCCAAACGGAAAAGAGCGTTTTCGGGATGTCTGTTTTGAATAATAGATTTCTATTATTTATTTATTTATTTTTTATTTCTTCTGTTGCGCCTCGGAATAGCTGTGTTCTCGTGCCCCGTATAATTCACTCTTTGCGTTCTCGCCACCATTGCCGCAATGGTTTTGCACGCGAGAAATGCTGATGAAAATTCAACGTGTACAGTTTCGTTCACCTTTTTGCATATTTACAGACTTTAGCGTTCATGGCACACCCTTAACGACCGCATTGTTCTTAGATCGCATTCCCTTTCCCCCTGCATCCCTCGTCCACACCGGTTACGCTGCAGCATATTACCGCGTGGTATATACCTGTTCCCACAAGCAGTCTGCCCGTCACTGGTTCAGGAACTAGAAAGTTTCAAACTGAAAACATTTTCGAAATATTACGATATTAGGCAGGAGGAACGTCTAAAACGAATTAAAAACATCATACGCGACGTGCTGGACTGTCATCGCTTTGTTCACGCCCAACACACCGCGAAATCGAATTCCTAGTCTAATTTCAGACGAATATCTATTAATACGACTCCCCGCCCACCGTGATTCTTTCGTCGTAACCTTAGCGTATAATAATAATAATAATAATAATACCTCTCGCGGTTAGAATAATGTCGCAGACGCGCATACCCTCGTCGTCATCCATCATCGAACGAAAGAGAGAAACTCATAAATATTCAAAACTTTTTCTTGGTCGACTTTTATGCTGACAGCCGTACCGACCCCATCTCGACACACATACACTCACAAACATATATATAATATATACACGTACATAATAATATACATTATTAAACATCACGGTACGGGTTGTGGTGATATGTACACATACTGCGCTTGTGTGACAGCAATCAAACGACTTATTGCCAATTTTTCATCTCAACATTACCTAAAGTATGTATTATTATTATTTTTCTCTCTTTTTTTCCCCTCGGCGTTTCGTCGTCGATAAACAAACTCTCAGAAGTATGCTTTATCATCGAAATTGACGTTTATATCATTACACTGGCTTCGAAACGGTATTACTGCTGTAATACTAATATTACGTGTAGCAGGTGAACTGGTGAAAGATGAAGAGACGAACAATGTACTCTAGAATGACATTGTGATTTTTGCGGGGCGCCGAGCATTTCGCTATTCATTTGATTTTTATAAGTTATATTATGCTACGACATTGATCAACCATAATAAAAATACCGATGTTCGTACAGAAAGTTTAACACATCTCTGAAAAATCCGAAGACGAGGATAGAATGATTTTCTTATGCATACATAATATTACGAACGAAAATTCTCGCAAAATGTTTTTATTATTATTATTGTTATTATCATTATTCCCGGTGTCCACCTTCAATATCATTACAATGAAATTATTTTTTATTACTTACAATTTTAGATTTCAATTTACGATCTTCATTATGAGGCGAAAATCTTTTCATTCTCCTGAATGGCAAACGAGTCTCGTCAAAAGTTGATTTTCTTCGGGCGACAAAATGCAATATGAGAGGAAAAAAGTTGGTTGTACGAGAGGAGTGCGTGGAGTTATTATTTTCGCTGTGATAAAAAGTTGCCCCCGGAGTATTTTAAACGGGTTTTCGAAAAAACGACCCCAGTAACAGAGTTACTATTTAAATTCACTGAAACTTATATTCGGTCTCTCGCTTTCTTTTTTTTACTTAAACTTCAATTTTATCTCATCTTCCGAACCGTAGTTTCGCTGTGGGAAAGTCGACACAACGGGGTAATCGATTTCTTTTAAACGACAATACACACTGAAGTTATAATTTAGTTTATTTTTTTTAAATATAATGTAAAAGTATATATCCTACCTGTTGTAATAATATTCCCTGAA